TTTGCTCTGATGTCTAACATCTGAAAGTGTAATTATTACATTAAGAGGAATATTGATATTGGACAATTTTTCTTTCCTCCGAACTCTATATGCAAAGAATGTTGTCTTGTACTATGAAAATTGTCATATGTCCATTTTAACCCCCATATATGAGATATTTTGTTTGTCTATGTAATTCAATAAAAAATAATATTAAAAATTATTTTAATGATTAATATTTAATTAAAAAAATTAATAATTTTTAATAAGTAATTTATGGTAATTAATAATTAATTATAATCATTATTATTATTTATTAATTATTAATAATTATTCATTATTAATTAATATAATAGTTAATAATTAATTAACAACTAATCATTAATATTTAATTAAAAGTTAATTTATAACTAATAATTATTATAATAGTTAATTAAAAAGTAATTACTAAATTAATTAAATATTAATTGTTAATAATGAATCATAATAATGTTTATAAATTAATATTTGATAATAATTACTATAACAATCATAAGAATATTTAATATTTAATTAATAATTAATTTATTAGTCATACTAATTATTATATTTATTAATTCATAATTGTTAATTATTAAATATACCAATTAATATAATAGTTAATAATTATTAACAACTAATAATTAATATTTAATGTTTAATTTAAATTATAACTAATACTAATTATTATAATAATTAATAATAACTAATTAAATATTAATTATTAATTATAATAATTATTATTAATTAATTAATTAGTAATAATTAGTAATTATTAATTATTTTTTAATAAGTAATAATGATGATGATTAATAGATGAATGATGAATAATGATTAATTAGTATAATAATAAGTATTTATTAATTATTAATTAGTTATTAATTAACTTTTAAATAATAAAAAATAATAATAATAATTATTCCAGAGAGATCTAGCTCCCCATATTAGTATTCTAAATAATATTATTTATGGTTAATGGTCTGTTAATTGTTTCTTCCAACGCTCAACTTACAAAAAAAAATTATTAACAAAATCGAAAACAGCTAGGGCAAAAACTGCCTGAAAAGCCCTGGCACCTCTCAATCTAGTGCGTTAGCACGCTGTAGTTTTTCAGCTTGTTGCTCTGACTTAAGAGCCAGGAAGTGAGAAAACTACAACACAACAAGCAATGGATTAAGCACTAGCACTCAAGCCGTTGTGCTAACACGCAGCCAAGCAAGCAATGGCTGGATTCAGCGCACTAGCGCGTGCATCCATTATTATTATTTTATTATTATTATTATTATTATTATTATTATTATTATTATTATTATTATTATTGCATATGAGGCCCTTGAGTTATAAGGAAGGAGAAGTATTTTGTGTTTTGGGGTATTATTAGAAAACAAAAAATATAAAATTCCATTTTAAGAGATAAAGAGATAAAGAAGAAACCAACAACTATTTTCTTCTTAAATTTGCAAGATAAAAAGATAAAAGTTAAGAGGAAACAGACAGCTTCATTGACAATGTTAATGTATAAAGCCCCTTTCATTCTACAAATATCCAAATACGTCATGGGCCAATCATAATAAGTCACGTCATGGGCAATCGGCAAATCCAAACACGTCAGCATTTGCAACATCACGTCAATTATTAAATGCTGGTATGCTGCCATTAAAATCCCGTTGATGTTGAATTCAATCGAGTGAAATGCAACCACACCAACCGCCACATATTGGCCTCCGACCGTGGTCCCACTGTATGCCACCTCAATTCAGTCACACTAAGTGACCCTACAGTGGTGTCAAGGTAAGGGTTACCGCATCATTCTAGACGATCGTAGATAAAGAAGCTAGTCCAATAAATACGATTTTGTTTAATCACTTGGAATATAAGAACATTAATAAAAAATTATGAAATTTGTAGACATTATGAAGAGAAGAAAGGTTAATATTGCATGCCTACAAGAAACTAAATGAAAAGAAAAAAAAAACTAACAAAATTGATGGCTACAAATTATGATAGACGGGAGATGTGAATAATAGAAATCGTGTAGTGATAATAGTATATAAGGATTTGAAAAATTGAATTATAAATGCTAAAAGAATTGGGGAATGAATAGTTTTAATTAGACTTATTTTAGGTAAGGAAATCAATAGCATAATTA